GGCGGTGTGGCGGAGCCTGGCTGCGGTGAAAGCAAGAGACGAGGAGAAACCAGAGTCAGTGAACATGTTTTGTTTTGTTTTCTTAAGAATTCTGCCGTAACATAAAGAAAAATGCAGAAGCGGCTAGAGGGGAAGTAACCTCTAAAGAGGGTTTGGAGGGTTTTTTTCTTTACTCTAAATGGGAGCAACAACTCTGTTTACTGACTAGCACAGATGATCTAGCACAGAGGGAAATGAAGAAGGCAACAGAGGGAAGAAGGCTTGAGCAAGGCTCTTGGCTAAAGAGGAGGGATCTACAGCACACGGGAGAAGCCATTCGTTCTCAACGAGAGAAGAGAAGGCAAGTATGCTGGCAGGTGGGTAGATGAGTTAGTGGGAGATTCAAGGGAGGGGCAGGGGGTGACAGAGGTTCGAAGAGAGAAGACACTTCATAAAAACAAACATCTAAGTGGAGAATGAGAGGACCAGGCAGATCCGATCAGCCAGCCGACGGCCTCGAGGCCTGGTTCAGCTTACTAAGCCAGTTAGATTTAACCGAGGTTGTGGTTCACCAGAGAGAGAGGGAGAGAGAACGAACTACAAAACAAGACACAGACCAGGGTATGGAGGGTATGAGCAAGGGAGCGGTTACGACTGCCCATGGAACTGAACTGGGTAAGGGGGAAGTGACGACAGAGAGGAAACGGGGGACAGTGAAAAGATGGCGTGTCCGTAGGGTCGCAGGAACTGGTGGAGTGCCACGGGGAGTGAGCTGGTAAGACAGGAGGTGGTGGTCAGAGCTCGGGGTGTTGAAACGGAGACGGTTCTCAGTGCTGACAGGGTTTCGGCCAATGATGGGGGAGCAAATGGCTGAGACAGGGTGGAAGGCAAGATCCCTGGTGGAGAAGAGGCCCAGAAATGAGAGCTCAGGGTATCTGAAGTACCTCCTCTGAGAATCTGAAATCATCCAAGGAAGGAATATTCGAGAAGAGTGACAGTAAGCGAGGAGCTAAAATTTCTCAACAAGGGAGGGAGGGAGAATAAACTCGGAAGCGGCAGATGCCTGACTGTGACAGAGACAGAGGACGGCATATTGTGACACGAGATTTAAACGGGATTTATCTCAGGGAGGATGAAAGGAGAGCTAGCCGAAAGCAGCGCTGAAAACCAAGGTGCTTATCCCACCTTTAGAGGCCCGAATGGCAAAAAGGTTTTGAGAATGAAAATGGCAGCCATTCCCCAAGCCTTCAGAGAAAGCAGCTGTAACCAAGGGGAGGGTCAGGCTGCGGTCAGTGCCGGAAAGCCAACTTTCACAGAGGAGACTGAAGACGTAAAAGAAACCACAGAAGCAGATAGAAGCTTCTGGTCTTGGTACATGCACCTTACATGTGGCAAAGAGGTGGTTTCTGCACAAAGCCCAGACAGGGAGGGAAAGAAGAGAAGGAGGGGACATGCAAGTGACAAGCGTATGAAGAAATGCGCCACATCGTATGGGATCAGGCAGCTGAGCATTAAAACGAGATACCACACCCACCTACTAGAATGGCTAAAATCCAAAACACCGGCCACATCAAATGCTGTGGAGGACCAGGAACATTCATTCACTGCTACTGGGAGAGCAAAACCGGTACAGCCGCTTTGGAAGGTTCCTCCAAAACTAAATGTGCTCTTACCGTATGATCCCAGCAATTGTGCCTCTTGGTATTTACCCAAATGATTTGAAAACTTGTCCACACAAAAAGCTGTGTGTGAACATATAACTGCCGATATGTGAAAGCGACCAAGATGCCCCTCAGTAGGTAAATGGATAAGCAAACTGTGCTATGGACTGAATTGCGTCCCCCCAAAATTTGTATCTTGAAGCCACACCCCCCAGTGTGACTATGTCCAGAGAGAGACAAGGTGGCCTTTAAGGGGTAATCAAGATTAAATGACAATAGAAGAGAGAAGAGCAGGGCCCTAATCTGATAGGACTGTGGCCTTCTAGGAAGAGGGAGAGAGAGAGATCCTTCTTCACCCCCTTTCTCTCTCGCCCTTCTCTCTTCTCCCCTCTCCCTCTCTTTCGCCTCTCGTGCCCCTGCCTTGTGAGGATGCAGTGAAAAGGCGGCCATCCACAAGCCAGAAAGAGAGCCCTCACCGGAATGTGACCTTACTGGCACCTGATCTCAGACTTCCAGCCTCCAGAACCGTCAGTAAATAAATTTCTGTTGTTTAAGCCACCCAGTCTATAGTAGTTTGTTACGGCAGGCTGAGCGACTAACATACGGTAGTACGTCCATACAGTGGAATATTACTCAGTGCTTAAAAGACAAAAAAAAAAAGAGCTTCCAAGTCATGAAAAATTATAGGTCTTAAATGCATGTTGCTAAGTGGAGGAAGCTACAGACGGTATGATTCCAACTATATGACATTCTGAAAAGGCAAAACTGGGGAGATGGTGAAAAGATCAGTGGTTGCCTGGGGCTCGGGAGGGAGGGAGGGAGGAAGAAATGAATAGGTGGAGTACGGGGGATTTTTTAGGTACATGAAGCTCTTCTGTAGGACACTGTACATGCATGACATTAGGCATCTGTCAAAACCCACAAAATGTACAACACAGAGGGAATCTTAATGTAAACCACGGACTTTCGTTAATAATATTGGATCAATACTGGCTCATCAATTGTAACAAATTCACTCCACTAACGCAAGATGTTGCCAATATGGAAAATGGCGGTGGGGGTGTATATAGAACTCTGTGTACTATCTGCTCAGTTATTTTGTAAATGTAAAACTGTACCCCCAAAAAGCCTATTAAGCATTAAAAATAATTATGTGAAATTCAGATTTCGTGCCCATAAATAAAAAGTTGTATGGAAGCACAGTGATAACTCATTTACACATTCAGTTTACATTTCCCCTGGCTGCTTTTGCACTATTAACAGCAGAGCTGAGTAGTTGCAACAGAGACCACAAGACCACAGAGACTAAAATACTTACTATCTGGACCTTTACAGAAAATAATGTTGGCAAACCCCTGCTCTAAATTTCATTACCCAGGTTAAAGGGAAAAAGCACATCCCACCATAGGCAGTTCTGAGTGAACCACTTTATTATTCAAAGTTGTTAGGGTCACAAGTTCTAATCACATAAGCTGAATTTAAAAATTTAACTGGCCACCTTCTAATATTAAAAAAAAAAAAAATCAAATAAATCAGTGAGGTATCTGAATACTCAAAATGGCAACTCCCAGAAAAAGAATCCACAGTCTACTGAAAAACGCCAGCAGACAACAGCGTTTCACTTTATCCTGCAAAATCCACTCCACTTACTGAACCCCTAATGAATCAGAATTGAAGCGTTCAACTAAGAGAAGACTGTTAACAGTGTGAAAAGAGAAGCCTGGAAAACAATGGGAAATGCGCACATTCAGGGAGGGACAGGGCAGGATACCTGAGTTGAGTCAGTGAACCGACTACAAAGAATTGAACGCTCTGTAAAAGAACACTAGGACTGGGAGTCAATTTATCAGATCAATCACCACCATGCAGGCTGGAAAGAGAAAATAACGCGATGAGGAAGCGCCCCACAGTTATAGTTTAAGAGATATCATAAAAATATAATAGTTAGCTAGCTGAGAATAACCATAACTACCTGATATTCTAGATTTATTAATAACTGATGGAGGGGGTGGATCTTGGGAAGAATCAAATCTGTAGAAATAATTTAGGAAAAGCATTCTGGAATAGTGACTAAGAGGACAGGCTTTGGAGGTAAACAAACCTCCTGATCCTGCTTGCTCCCCTCACTTGCTACAACACTGAACATTCGCGCTCTCTCTCAGCCTGTTTTTTCATCTGTAAGTTAATAATACCTCCTCCTTATGCTGTAGGGAGGATTAAAGAAGTCAATGCATGTTAAGAGCCTAGCAGGACACCTGACGCAAATGAAGGGCTAGATAAATGGTAATTATCCCTATTACCACTATATTTGGCTCAGGAAAACACACTTGGAATCGACAGTCTCAAGTTTCTTCCAGCAGCTCCTAGGAAATCTACCCAAGGACTGAAATAAAGCTCCCACTGCACATAATCTAAGAGGAGTTCTGTCCTTAGAAAATCAAATGAGGACTTCAGTTCAATACATAGAATTGAGATTACGCTCTTGCTACCGAGAATGGTGGCCCAAGGAGGAAAGATGAAGATCAGTCTGGATTCCCCCCGGATTCCCCCCAAGTTCCAAAGTAGGTGAAAGGCGTAGGCTCACGACAGGGCCCACTCAGAGACCTACGCAATCCCAAATTCTCGCTGGAGCCGGAGAACAGCATTAGTCCTATGTCCCAAAACGAAGAGAAGAATACAAGTTTCCTCTAAACACCTAGATGACAAAGTTTCCCCACCGTCATTCCCACTGCATTCCATTCCACTCTTCCCGATCACAAAACCAAACCAAAGATACACGAAACAACTTCAAAACAAATTGGCGCTGTTTCTGAAGGGCAGTCAGGATTACATCCATTTTTAAGCGTTAGGTCTAGGCAGTCAGGGACCCAAGGTCAGGTGCTTTGGTTCTCTGCCAAGATGGACATCAAGTCTAGACCAACAATGGCAGCTGCGACATGAAGATCTTTGCATACATTCCCCTTCTGTCACACAAACACGTACAGACACACTCCACGGCAATCACCGCCCACATCCCACACTGAGAAAACAGCTTCCAGCCTTTTTGATGATCCCAGCCATCCAGCCCTCTGCTTCCTACCGACGCCCTTTCCGCTCCCACATCCTGAACCCCTGGTACTTTCCCAGCGCAAATGGCGAAAAACGATAACAATTCCAATCAGGCAACATTTTACGCTGCCGGGTGCCAGGGCAGAAACCGCCCGGTTCTGCTAGACTCTTCCAGGCAGGTCCACGGACGGAAGCGACGAGTTAGCCCCGGCTCCCGGGGCAGAGTTCGCCCACACCTGTCTCCACAAGTGGGCGGAAGGAGAGAGGAAGAACCCCGCGGCCAGCGCTGGCACGTTCTCGGCCGCCACTCACCCCAATCCTCGTTCGCTCGGTGAGAAAGGCCCGGGCTAAGAGGCGACTCCATGGTGCCGGCAACGCCAGCCGGCTCTCGCACACCCCACGCTCCCGCGGCCTGGAACTCGGTGACTAACAGCTCGGACGGCGGCGGCAGGCGGACAAAATACCCCGTCCCGGCGCGGGGACGGTGGCCGAGCGAAGACAAACTACGCCCGCTGCCCGGGGAGCTTGCGCAAATCAGAAAGGAGAAACGTCAGAGACCGAGCTCCTTTTCAGCGGATCTCCGAGTAACTATTTCCCTTTGGGAGTTTTCGGCACTTTCTGTCCCGCTGTTTTAAGGAAAAAAAGAAAAAAAGACACATAAGCCCTACTTTCGTTAAATAAAATGTATCGATAGTAGTCAAAATGAAAAGTAAAAGCCCCTTCTGGATAGACGGGCTTGTTCCTCGCATATCCTTGTTAATACCACCGTGTAGCTATCTCAGAACAAAGGCAGAGACCCATAAAGTAAATGTGATTTAATTTTTTTGCAATCGCTGGCCGTCATTGTAAAAATTCTGCGTACACACGAGTGTGTGAAAGAAAAACTCAACTCTCGTGCCGCGTTCGTTAGACCCGCCTCTCTTCACCGGCACAGTACCTGAGGTAAACAACAGCACGTCCTTCGTACTTCCAGAAAGCCCCCTTCTATTTAAACAAATTTAAGCAAGGCAAATATAAAAGAGGGAACTCCTCGTCCTCACACCTATCTCCTAGATATGCGTTTCTAAAGCATAGTACTTCGTAGTGGAAATCCGAGCGACCTTACCCTACAACCTAGAATAAGGTAGATTCGTAATCTTTTTTTTGCTGGAACTGGAGAGTCGGTTTTGTTCCGAAGCAATTCACATCACGAACTGACACTGAAAGCTTGGATTGAGATTGACGGAACAATTTCAAGAACGCTACGTAATAGAATTCCTTCCTACAGCATTTCAGCCGCGAGTATTTCAAATACCCTAAGAACCCGGATCCCTCTAGGACCGAGTGGAATCCTTCCCATGGTTACTAAACCAAACAAACGCTTCCCAGAATCCAGCGAACTCCTCGTGGCTGCGGGGTTACTACAGATTGCATAATCCACAGTCTTCAATACAGTCCTGGGACCCCAAACCGGAAACATTTCCCCGAAATGATTCCTTGTGTCATGGGGTAACTAAACAGTTTTCATGTATAGTGAAATAAATATCGCTTCTATTCAAAAACGGACCATAAAAAGAAAGCCCTAAAATAAAACCACCAAGAGTCTTTTATTCTACATCCACCAGATACCTTGGTCTTTTTTTTTTTTTTTTTTTTAATCACCATGACTGAACTCCAGCCATTTTTTTTCAAAGTTTTTATTTTTATCCGAAAAGCGCAGATGACAAGGAAACAAGTATTTGCGTCCCTATCACCAAAAATTAACAAATATTAACATTTTCTATTTTTCTTTCAGGTTTTTCATACTGTAAGAAATTAAACATGACAGATAAAGCCCAACTCTGCTTCTTCTCCTGCTTCATTTCCCCCCCGCCCAGACAACTTCTAATATGAATTTTATGGGAATCAAATCCATTTTTATTTTTATTTTTATTTTATTTGTATTTTATTTTATTTTTATTTGTAGATACATATATTTAGTGTTGTGTTGGGTTTTTAAATTTACATAAATGTATCATACTCATGTTCTCCAAGTCACTTTTCTTATTCAACATTACTTTTTGATGATCTATTCATGTTTGAACTGTTACGTGGTATTTCCTTGAAAAAAATCTATATATCACAATTTCATTTTTCATTTCTCTACTAACGGACATTTGGATTGTTTTAAATTTTTACTGTTACATACATCCTTCTATGAGTCTCTTCATGCATATATGCAAAAATGTCTTTAAGATATATGCTGGGTCATAGAGTATGAATGTTAATATCTGCCAAATTATACCAATTTACATCCTTTCTACCAATGATGAGCTCTGTACTCCACATTCTCACCAACACTAGATATGGTCACTTTCACATTTTTTGCCCCGTGAAGGGTGTGACTAGAATTTACATTTCCCTGACAATTAAATATGGGGTGGATCTTTTCGCGTTTATTAAACCTTAATTCCTCTTCTGTGAATTGCCTATTCTTATAAAATTTGCTATTGTATTTTCTTTCTCTCAATGGTATGCACGTCTTTAGCTAGCCTACTCTATTCATTTAACTGATATATGTGTTGCAAATACCTTCTCTTAAGTTTACACTTGTTTTTTTGTTTATGGGGTTTTTGTCTTTAGGTTTCAACTTCAATGTAGTCAAATTTACCAATCTTCTGTTTATGATCTGTGCTATTTGTAACTTGCTTAAGAAATCCTTCCCTCTCCTCAGGTCACAGAGATGTTTTAAATTTTCTTTCCATAGTTTTATAGTTTTGTTTTTCACATTCTTTTTTTTCTCCTTATTTGGTTATTGCTGGAGTGTAGTAGCATTATTGATTTTTATACAGCAATCCTGTATCCAAAAACCTTGCTGGATGGGGCGCCTGGGTGGCGCAGTCAGTTAAGCGTCTGACTTCAGCTCAGGTCATGATCTCAGAGTTCGGAGTCTGACGCCAGGGCTCTGTGCTGAGCCAGACTAGAGCCTGCTTCAGATTCTGTGTCTCCCTCTCTCTCTGCCCCTCCCCCACTCGCTCTCTCTCTCTCTCTCTCTCTCTCAAAAATAAACATTAAGAGGCGCCTGAGAGTGGCATGATTCTAGTCGCTGGCCACTTCAACCAGGTACCATCTACAGTCGGTGAGTTCAGCCCATGGCTCCTGGGCTGATTGTCAGAGCCTGAGCCTGTTCCGAGCCTTTCTCTGTGCTCCCTCTCCCCTCTCATGCTCTGTCTCTCTCTGTCCCACAAATAAATAAACGCTTGAAAAAAAATTAAAAATAAATAAATAAATAAATAAATAAAATAATAAACATTAAAAAAAATTTAAAAACCTTGCTGAATTATGTGACTGTAATATTTTGTCTGTAAATCTCCAGAATTTTCTATGTAGAAAAACTTGTATGCAAATACGAATATTTTAAAATTTATTTTAGCATGTAACCTCTTTAAAATTTATTTATTTTGAGTGAGAGAGAGCACATGTGAGCAGGGGAAGAGGGGCAGAGGGAGAGAGAAAGAGGGGGAGAGAGAGAGAGAGAGAGAGGGGATCCCAAGCAGGCTCTATGCCCAGTGAGCCGACATGCTTGGTTCTCAAGAACCACGAGGTCATTGACCTGAGCCAATCAAGAGTCAGACACTTAACCACTGACCCACCCAGGTGCCCCCATTGTGACCTTTTTAAATTGTCCTCTCTGTGCTGACAGCAGAGAACCCCATGCAGGGCTCGAACTCCTGAGCCGTGAGATCATGACCTGAGTTGAAGTCGGACACCTAACCAACTGAGCCACCCAAGCGCCCCTTAAATTGACCTTTATTTTTTTTTTAATTTTTTTTTAACATTTATTTTTTCAGACAGAGAGAGACAGAGCATGAACGGGGGAGGGGCAGAGAGACAGGGAGACACAGAATCGGGAGGCTCAGGCTCTGAGCCATCAGCCCAGACCAAGCTGGGGCTCGAACTCACAGACCGGTCGTGACCACAGGTCAGTCAAATCTGAGACCTTAAGTCGGAGGCTAACGACCTGAGCCAACAGCCATGCTCTTAAATTGACCTTTAATGTGGAAAATTTCAAACACAAAGAAAAGGTAGTGAAGACTCGTTCTTAGCACCCAACTTCAACAATTTCCCATTCTTGTTTTATCTACCCTCTCTCCCCACAACACTTACTTTTTCTTTTGCTTTGTTTTTTCCCCTGGGGTGTTTTAAAGAAAATCCCAGAGAGCGTGTTATTTCACCTATAAATACTTTAATAGATATCCTGACAAGGCTTTTTTCAAATTTTTAAAAACATGACTACAACACTGTTATGATACCCACCAAAATTAATAATTCCTTAACCTGTTCCATGTTCAGTTTTCGCTCAGAAATGCCTTTCTACAGTTGGTTTGTACAGTTGTTTCCTCTCCTATGTTGTTGCAATGGCAAGGACCTCTCCTACCACACTGAAGGCAGATGCACAAGTGTACATCTTTTAACTTGTTCCCAACTTTCATGCGAAAGGTTTCCTTTAAAGGATTTTTAAAAATGCCTTATTTAGGGGCGCCTGGGTGGCTCAGTCGGTTAAGCGTCCGACTTCAGCTCAGGTCACAATATCGGGGTCCGTGAGTTCGAGTCATGCTCTGTCTCTCTGTCTCAAAAATAAATAAACGTTAAAAATAATGTTTTATTTATTTTTGAGAGAGAGACAGAGACAGAGACAGAGACAGAGCATGAGTGGGGGAGGGGCAGAGAGAGAGGGAGACACAGAATCCGAAGCAGGCTCCAGGCTCTGAGCCGTGAGCCGTGAGCCCGGCGCAGGGCTCGAACTCGTGAACCACAAGTGTCTGACCTGAGCCGAGGTCAGACACTTAACCGACTGAGCCCACAGGTGCCCCCGATGTGAAAGTTTTAAAAAGTTTTACTAGTGATAAGATTTGGTTTTTCCTGTAGTTTCTTAACACAAGGAAAATTTCTTTTCAATTTTCATCAAGAAATTTGCCGTGGTTAGGGTTTTTTTTACACACACTTTTGGTTATATACTCCTTCCATTCTAGTTACCATGCTTTTTAAAAAACTTTTTAATGATAAATGTTAAATGTTACTACATCCTTTTTATTCACTTGTTTTCAACGTAAACCCTTGGAAGAGAAATGAAATTTGAGAGAGTTTTGTCTAGGGGCGCCTGGGTGACTCAGTCGGTTGAGCGTCTGACTTCAGCTGGTGTCATGATCTCACAGTTTGTGGGTTCAAACCCCGCATCGGGCTCTGTGCTGACAGCTCAGAGCCTGGAGCCTGCTTCCGATTCTGCGTCGCCCTCTCTCTCTGTCCCTCCCCTGCTTGTGTTGTCTCTCTCTCTCTCTCAAAAATAAATATTAAAAAAAAAAAAAATGAGAGTTTTGTCTAGAGACATAAAGGAGACCCTTGCCTAGATCCATACTTCTGAGGACTCTACTCTGGCGTC